AAATTTATGTATTGATTTGGAGACTTTGATTTAATGGGACCCAACTTCAAACAAAACAAAATTTCTTGAATTTAAATTTTGAATTCAATTTTCTTAAATAAAAATTAAAATTTGAATGATTTGGAAATATGACTGTTGGTTTTCATCGGTAAGAAAAAATAATGAAAAAAACATAAATACCTCTAATTGTTCTTCATCTTCTTCATCACTTCTAAATTTTCAGAATGTGGGTTTTTTTTTTCTTTCTGTTTTTCTCTTCAATACTTGTAGAAATTGAAAACTTGATTGGGTTTATGGATTAGAGAATGAATAAATTAGAAGTAGGGGGTTAGGTTTTACTTCAATTCTTGAAGAAATTAGGAGCACAAATTTTTTTATTCTCTCTCTGTTACGCTGCGTAAGAACATAGTGAAAAAATTGGGGGAAGAAGAGGCGAGGCGTTAGGTTTAGAAGAGAGAAAAGAAAAAAAAAACAAAAAAAAAAAAAGGAAAATAAACGTGTGGAGGTTAAAGGCGGTGCACAATTAGTGGAGATTTACAAATCTTATAATTATTAAGTATTTAATTAGTTACTCAAAAAATATTTAATTTTTCTTTTGAGTAATTAATTTATTTTGTTTTTAGGTTTAATAAATTTAATTCTTTTATATTAAGTTTAATAACTTACTATTTAATTATTTTTTAGCAGTAATGGAAGAACTTGAAGGAAGTTCAAGGGACCGTGGTTCAATATTTCATATCTTTTCAGAAATTTTCATTTTTTCGATCAAAATGTGTATTAAAAATAATTAAGATTGTTCAAATAAAATTTAACCGTCTACAATCTCGTATATGAATAAAATTTGAGTCATAAACAAATTACTCCATAAAATAATCCGTAACATGATTTAGAGACTCAAAATTATAGAGCTTCCCATTGTGGATTGTTTTTTTTTTTAGAGACCGTAAAATTTTACCGGGTCTCCATTTGGGTCTCCAAAATAGAATTTGGAGACCCAATTTGGAGACTCTATTGGAGATGCCCTAACTGTAATGGTACAAGGAGTTTGTAGGGTTGCCCTACCAAACCAACTCCTATCCAAAACTACTCGTCAAATAGTGGAGTATACAAGCAATCTAGACACGGCCACCAGTCGGGTTGGGTCCGGGTCCAACTTTTAGGGGACCCGATACTGACCCGTGGTGAGGTGGGTCCGGGTCCGGTCCACTCGTTTACTCCAGGTCCGGGTCCAGGTCCAAACCGAATTTTTATTTTTATTTTTATTTTTTGTTAATAATAAATTACAACAATTTAAAAAAAAAGACAAAAAAAAGTAAATTGAAACTTGAATGCGCTTACTTGAGCTTAACTTTAAATTAAAAATTAAAAAAATATTCTAAATTTTATTATTTTTTACGATTTGATTCAACATTATCTACGATTCGTACAATTTTTATAATTTTTTTTATAAATAAATTCAATTAAAAAGATATTACTTAACTTATAAATAGTTAATTTGATTAATACGGCATTGCCAATAGTTGAGCTTAATCAATTTAAACACTTGAATAAAGGTTACGGATTGAAACAACTTGAGCTTGACCGACCGATTCAAATCTTACGATTAAATATTATTCTTACGATTTGTACGAATTATATTTTACTATTTTTATGATAAAATTCAATTAAAAAGATACTATACTTTAATTATAAATAGTCAATTCGATTAACATGTTCTTATCAATACTATATCCATTTAAATTATTATTAAACCAATTATCAAAAAAAAAAATCACATCATAATACTTTGATTCTACTCATCATATATAGGTTTATGTTAAAAAAATAGAAAAAATAATTGAAATGAGTTATAATCTTTTTTTTTTTAATAAATATTATCTATATTTTTGTTATAAATATGTTATTGTCAATAATTGTTCTATGATAAAATAATCAATAATTTTAATAAGTTCTTGCCAATAATTGTCCAATGATAAAATAATCAATAATTTTAGTAAGTTCTTGTAATTCAAATGAGTTATAATTATTTTTTTAACAGTATCGTGTGTAATAACATAAGTGAGCTGTATTAAGTCATGCATTTGTTCATTATTGAATTGATTCAATATATTATATTTTTCAATAGTGGAGATTATATTGAGTATAGTAATTAATAATAGATGTTTGGAACTTGAAAGTATTGAACCGCAATTGTTTATATTTTTCAAAACTTATTATATTACATTTGTTAACAATTTAATTAAAATTATTTAATAACAATGCATATGAAAATTAATTATTTATTAACATTATTTATACATCAATTATCATTTAATTATATTTATATACATTTATTGCCAGATAATAATCAAACATCTTCTTTAGCTCAGTAGTTAGTACTATCAAAAATCATGCTCAAAATTTAGTGAGGTTTACGTATGAGAATAGAGTTGTGAGTGTGCTCATTGAGAATGTTGATCCATTATCAACTATGGAAAGTCAAGCTACTTCTACCTATTTTTTATTTGGTGACCAAGCTAGTGAACAAGATGTGGAATTGGCTGAAGAGTTTACAACAAATGTTGAAGAAAGTGACAGGGGTGCTCGTGAATCAAATGCGAATGATATGGTGGACTTTGATAATAACACAATAACATCAAGTAGTGAAGAAGAATGTGATGATGTTGACAATGATTATGAGTGTGACGATGAATTTGAAGAGACTGATTTTGGATTTGATGACCAACTATTCGATGATAATGTAGACAAAGAAATTGAGCGGGCTAATATTGTAGATGTTCAAATACCTGAGGTAGACAACAATTTAGCTAAGTAATAGTGGAATCGTTGACATGAAACAATCGACAACCACAATGCATGGATGCAAAAATAAAAAGGGAATATCCAAATTGCCTGATTTTTAAGTTTATCAAAATGATGCAGATAACTCTTATTTTGAATTTGAAATAGGCATGAATTTGAAAGATGTTGCGGAATTCAGATATGCTGTAAGAAAGCATTCAAATAAGTAAGGTAGACGATTAACATTTTATAAGAACTGCAGCAACAAGATTCAAGGTTACATGCAAGTGTGAATGGGTCATATATGCATCATTTATGTGAAATATAGACAATACATTTCAGGTTAAGGCTATTAAAGGGCACCTTACTTGTACTAGAGAACCTAGTTCAAAGCATTGCACATCAAAATTTTTGGCTTTGAAATATCAGAATCACATAAGGAGTAACTCGGAATGAGCTGTGAATTCAATGCAAGAGCTCATGCAAATTGAAAACCGAACACTACTAACAATATCTAAGATGTACAGAGCCAAAAAACATGTTGGCAAACTTATAAATGGCACCGAATGTCAGCAATATACAAGACTTCGGAATTACTGTGACAAAATCAAGAGAACAAATTTGAACACCACAATGAAAATTAAGTGCAAGCATAGAATTCTGGAGAATGTACATTTAAGAGGATCTATATTTATTGGGGAGCTCTAAAGAAAGGTTTTAAAGAAGGGTGTAGACCTATCATCGGGTTGGATGGGACTCATCTCAATACATAAAGGGGTGGGGTGTTACTTACAACAGTTGGTATAGACGGGAACAGCAACATGTACCCCCATTGCTTATGATATAGTTTTGAGTGAAACTATGAAAACATGGGATTGGTTCATTACACTATTGATTGATGACTTGGACATTAAGAACAGTTATGTGTGGACTATAATTTCTGATAGGCAAAAGGGATTGATTAGGGCCTTGGAGGATTTGTTACCCCACGTTGAACACCGATTTTGTATGAGACATATGTACAACAACTTTAAAACGAAACATAAGGGGATGCAATTAAAGTATTTTATATGGATAGTTGCTACACCAACTAGAGTGGTTGATTTTGAAGGGATAATGGAGCAATTAAAAGCCACTCATCATGATGCATATAAGTGGGTGATGGAGAGACCTCCCAAGCAATGGACAAGGTCACACTTCAATACTTGGCCAAAATGTGACATTTTACTAAATATTTTTTGCGAAAGCTTCAACAAATCAATTATAAAGGCTAGGAATAAGCCTGTGATCATGATGTTGGAGATTATAAGAATGATAATATACAAAAGATTGCCAACTCAAAGAGATAAAATCATAAGGTAAATGGAGAAATATGTCCTACAGTGCAAAAAATATTAGAAAATAAGAAGAAAAAGGCACATGAATTTATTGCACAATGTAATGGTGAAGATAAGTTTGAGGTTAAAAGATGGTTTGGTGACTCTTGGACAGTGGAACTACCGAAGAGAATTTGTAGTTGCAGAAAGTAGGATTTGACTGGATTACCATGCGTGCATGCTATAGCATGTGTGTTTTACAAAAGGAAAAATATGGAAACTTATGTGTGCTATTGGTACCAAAAGAACACATACATGAAGGCATATAACTACATGTTGCAGCCAATAAAAGAAAAAGATGAGTGGCCAAAATCTGAACTTTTAAAATTAGTTTCATGGCCTAAAAAGCCAAAGAAAGCTGGAAGACCAAAATAACATTTAAGAAGAAAAGATCCAGATTGTAACACCCCGCATTTTCGGTAAAAAAAATTTTTTTACCACCTTTATGTGCATATTTGTGAAATTAGAATTTATAATAATTTTTGCATGGTTAGTATTTACGTGAATTAGGTGATTATGTGAATTATGTGATTATGTGAAATATATGATTATGTGAAATATGTGATTATGTGAAATATCTGACTATGTAAATTATGTGCTTAGGAAATATTTCGAGATATTATGTCGAAATAAATTATTTTTCATAAACTAGGATTTTATTCTTGCATATTGATCGTTCCAGAAACAACGTGGCCGATGTGTTGCCTTCCCTACCGTAATGGAGGATCTGCAGAGAAAGGAAAACCGGACTGATGCCGGAGTTAGCACTCCGACGATCAAGTCAGTACCACGGCTCTGTGCGTAATATAGTATGAATATGTAAATACTACGTTAGAGCTTAAGATGGATAAAAAGAACTCCCTTTCTGTTTGGGTTTCTGGGGCTTTTATAATGTTTGGCGGGAAGGCTCTCTGCCCTCTCAGGCTCTGGTGCAGAGGCCTACTTTTGGCGGGCTTTTCACCTTTCAGCCAGTCGGTCCGGGCCATCATAACATCCTATTTTCTAGGGATTATGATGCCCGCAGGTCTGTCTCATGTACTTCCCGGCCGCACATAGTCATTCGCACATTTAATGCTCTGACAGGAGCATTTAATGGGTGCCTGGCCAGGCCTGTCAATGCATTTAATTCCCTATTTTTCTGCTTTTTCCCGACCTCCCTCTTCCTGGCCGGGAACTGTGGATAACTTTCACCCGCCGAGTCCTCGTGCTGGCCCAGTCTCTCCCTTTCTATTGGGTTTTACTTTCCTCCTTGGGCTTCTCCTTTCTATATGGGCCGGCTAGGCGATTCCTGGACTATTTTAGTGGGCCAGTGTATTTGGGCATCAATCCTGGCCCCGATCCGGATCACATATGAATTTAAATGAGCATTTCATCATATTTATGCATGCACAAAATTTTAGAAAATAAATTTTTATCATGCATTTTAGGATTTTTATTAATGTAGAAAATTAGAAAATCCTCCCCTCATTTTCTTCAAATTTTCGAACATCACACACACACACACACACACATAAAAAGACATGCATTAGTGTGGTTGTACTTTGAGCATAAAAAGAAATACCTAAAGCAAGCCTCCCTACCCCTTAGACTAGGCTTGCTTTTCCACTCCCACACACCACTTTAAGACCAAAGGTTTTTCTTCTTCCTCTCCCCTTCATTTTTTTCGGCAGCCATAACACCACCACCATAGCCACCACCTTCTCAAGCTTGAACCACCCAAGCACCACCGCCACTCCTATTTTTGAAAATTGCAAAATCACCCCCACAAAAAGATGTATTTTCCTTTCTTCTCCATTGGCTTTGAACTCTCCAAAAACTCTATCTCAACCAAAAGCTTAAGTTGTTAGTGAAATGTATCATTTAATATTAATATCTCCAATACGCCCCCTCAAGTGCAGGCGAATTATATTTGAAGCCTTGCCCTTGAAATATTTTAAATGGGTGGCGGTGGGATCCGAACTCAGGACCTTTTCATTTGGCTGCCTCTGATACCATGTAAAACAAGAGAAAGATGAAAATATTCGGCTTACCGAGTTTGAAATGCCCAAGATCAAAATGCACTCTCATGCCCAAGATCAAAATGCACTCTCAAACTCCACTCTTACTATCTATAAGTTCAAAGTCTCCTATTTCAATAGAAGAAGAATTTTTGGCCAAATCCTTCCCCTAAAGAGTAGAGTTGAGAATTCTTGAATTCTTGCTCAAACATGCAACACCACTAGTATTTTCGATTTTTATGTGTTTTTATTGTTTATCCTTGCATATTATGTGATTATATGGCTTAGATGATGATTGCATGTTAGTGTTTTTAAAAGATAACTTTGTTCGTGAAGTTTTATACTTTTTCAAAAATTTGGGGAAAAATGCTTAAATTGCTTATTTGGCTTAATTAGTGCCTTGCATGTGTTAATCTAGTGTTTGATTGTTGATTTGTGAAAAGAAAATGAATTTTTGGCCTTGCCATGAAACTTTCGGATTTTTTGGGGGAAAATGCTTATATTGCTTATTTGGCTTAATTAGTGTCTTGCATGTGTTAATCTAGTGTTTGATTGTTGATTTGTGAAAAGAAACTGATTTTTTGGCTTAACTATGGAACTTTCGAATTTTTAAGGTAAAGTGCTTCAAATGGCTTATTTGGTTTATTTGGCATCTTGCATGTGTTGATCTTGTGTTGGTTGTTGTTTTAAGGCCTTGCTTGTTAAGATTTGGTGATTGATTGTTGATCTAAGGTCTTGCATGTTAAGATATAGTGATTGATGGTTGATCTAAAGTCTTGCATGTTAAGATCTAGTGTTTTCTATGAAAAATGATGGAAGAATTAAGAATTTGTGCTAATTTCATTTAAAATACTCTTGCATCTGTATATCTAGTGAATTTACTTGAATAAAATGAAAAGATGAAAGTTTTGAACTTTATTCTTGTAAAAAGCTAGATTTAATGAACTTTTGATTTTAGATTGCCTTTGCATGTTAAGATTTCGGTTATTTCTTGTAATTGATTATGGATTATGTTTTTATGGCTAAATAATTTTGTGAAACTTTATTTGTAATTTTCTATGTGCTCTTGCTTGCTTATGTGGATCATTGGGTGTGAGGATGAGAGAAGGGTAAGTAGAAGGGTGCATGTGCGGGTGCATTAGTGTCATGATTTTTTAAAAGATAAAAATATGATGGAAAGTCTTTCGAGGTTACGGTAAATATCCCGGGTACGCCGAGTCGGTACCGTAGGGCCTAGGGGTGGTTTGATTCCACGTAGATAGACGGATTCGAAATATATGCGGTTATTTACCGGGAACTTAGATTGACTCTTCCGAGGGATTCCCGAAGATTTTTCATGTCATGCATGTTGCATTATGGTGTTGAGGATATAGATGGAAAAACTCACTCTATGGTCTTGGGATCGTAGGGTTATAAAGGTGGGAGATTCTCATCCTATAATCTTCAATACGTGTCATGACATAGGGTTATAAAGGTGGGATGTTCTCACTCTATGGTCTTGGGATCATAGGTTATAAAAGTGGGAATTTATCTCACTCTATGCGTGTGACAATTATGTGATGAAGAACGCTGACGAAAAAGGAAAGTATATGATTGCTTTAATTTATGTTGCATGTCCATGTATAAGATATACGTATGTATATATATAGATATATGTATGCTCTATGTGTTATGTGTATTCGATAATACTTCAAGATTCTCATTGAGTCCTCAAAGGCTCATATAGGTGTTGTATGTTTGTAGGTATATCCGATTTGGAGCCCGTGGAGTGAAGTTGGGAATCGAGCTCGAGAATCGGAAGGAGATCGTATGGAGGGGTTGTGGATTGTGTTGGCTCTCAATTTAGTTATGTGGTTTTATTTTTATATATAATATGCTTGTAAAGACTTTTGATACGGTTTTAGGTATTTTCTATGTTCGCTTCCTCCGATCGGTGGAAATTATTAAAAGACAATAGGTGTAATAGTAATTAGGATTACCCCATTTTTGATATTTAATCGGTAATCCGTAGTATTTTGTAAACGAAAGCGTATTATAATATATATATGCATGCACGCTTTTCGGCTAGTAACCTCTTCGTGTTTTGTCTCGATGTGTGGAAATTATTCTCATATAGGTTCTTTGCTTAGAAAATCATGAAATTTTAGGAGTCTCTGTATCTCTCTGTTCTTATCATTTTGCTAGGTCTTTTGCATGATTTGGGTAAGTATTTAAATAGTTATGAATTATTTCTCACTATTGCACTGAAACAGGGTCATTCGGGTGTTTTCTGGCATAACTGGAGTTTTACTCATTTAAAGACCTTATTTCCACTTGAAAAATGTTTTAAACTTATTTTTCTGCGTTGGGTTAAAATTTGGTAGTTTTTGGGTAAGTGGGTAATTTATTACGAATTTTCAAAACTCTCGCCCATGTTCTGGATTTTAAACTGAGTGACTGTGCCATTTTATTTATTTCTCCTAAATGGCCAAGCATCTTTCAAAACTGTTTTAATTGAGTGATTTAGACCCATGTTTTATGGTATGGTATTATTTTTGGGTTAATTGAGTGATTTAGACCCATTTTCTACACTGAATCTGCCCGAACTTGCATTAAGTCCATCATGCCTAGTTATTTTCTAGTCTTGCACGTAGCATGTATTTGTGTTAATTGGTTGATTAGGGTTTAGTATAGTGTGAGCTCCCTCCCCCTGATTTAAAAAGAAATTTTTTTTACGTAAATTTATATCCACACATTTTTAAAAAGTCTTCCGCTGAGATTACATATAATAAGAGTAATCGAGAGAGAGTTGTCACACAGATGAGACAATCCAAGAGCACGATGGTGGGAATAGTTGAAAATAAATGGCTTCACATACCGTTGTCCTAATTGTGGGCAACATGGACACAACATAAAATGGTGCAAGGAACCATCAAACGTGTCTGGTTACAGTTCCGAGCAGGTTCAGGGTCCGGGTCCAAACCGGATTTTTATTTATTTATTATTTTTTTTGTTAGTAATAAATTACAATAAAGAAAAAAAAAGTAAATTGAAACTTTAAAGTACTTGAGCTTAACTTTAAATTAAAATCTAAAAAAAAAATATTATTTTTTACGATTTGATTCAAAATTATCTACAATTTGATTCTTACGATTTTTAGAAATTAAATTTTATTATTTTTTATAATAAAATTCAATTAAAAAGATATTACTTAACTTATAAATATTAATTTAATTAATACATCATTGTCAATAGTTGAGCTTAATCAATTTAAATACTTGAATAAAGCTTATGGATTAAAAGAAATTTGAGCTTGACCGATTCAAATCTTACGATTAAAATATTATTCTTACGATTTTTACGAATTATATTTTACTATTTTTATGATTAAATTCAATTAAAAAGATACTATAACTTTAATTATAAATAGTGTATTCGATTAATATTTTCTTGTCAATACTATCTCCCTTTAAATTATTATTAAACCAATTATTAAAATTTTAAATTATTTTTAAACCAATTATTAAAAGAAAAACCACATCATAATATTTTGATTCTACTCATCATATATAGTTTTGTTTTTAAAATAGGAAAATTAATTGGAATGTCTTATAATCTATTTTTGTTAAAATTAAATGTTCATGTCAATAATTGTCATTTAATAAAATAATCAATAATTTTAATAAGTTCTTGTCAATAATTGAGGTTAATCAATTTAAATTAATTCAATGAGTTATAATCAATTTTTTTAAAATAAACATCATATTTTATTTTTCATTTGAACTTTTAGCACTATCGATTTTAATAACATGAGTGAGTTGTATTAAGTCATGCATTTGTTTTTAGGGCAAATTACCAAAAACCCCCTGAAGTAAGCCTAAATAAAGAAAATTCCCCCATGTTCTCGTAATTATGAAAACCCCCTTGACTAACGGTTGACCGAATTTTTTTAACAGAAAACGTGAAATGTCTATTATATCCTTCTGTTAAATATGTGAAAATAAAAGAAAAAAGCTGAAAATGTGATTCTCTCCGGCTACGTGGTCTAGTGTAATATCCACCAGCACTGAAGAAGACGAGGACATGGCCAACTGTCTGATACTCCTTGCTCAGGGCGGCGGCGGCGGCGGCACCGAGGGAAAGTTCAGCAGCCGGAGATTCCCAGAAATGGCGGCGGCGGCGGCGCGGAAGGGAAAGTTGGCATCTACGTCTACGAGTGCAAGACTTGCAGCAGAACATTCCCTTCGTTTCAAGCGTTGGGTGGCCACCGCGCAAGCCACAAGAAACCCAAACCCCCCGCCGCCGCCGCAGACGTTGATCGGAAAAAGCCACCACCGGCGGCGGCGCCGCCGATTGATCAAACAGCGGAATATACTCCGGCACCAACTTCAACGCAATTTCCGAAAACTCACGAGTGCTCGATATGCGGGTCGGAGTTTGCGTCGGGGCAAGCATTGGGCGGCCATATGAGAAGACACAGGTCTGCTGCAACTAACACCAATACGACGTCGTCGTCTGATATTATTGATGCCGGAGAAAAGACCAGAAACATGCTGGAGTTGGATCTCAACCTGCCGGCGCCGCCGGAAGATGATCGCCGGGAAACGAAGTTCCACCGGTTCACAGCCAACAAGCAGCCGCGTCTTGTTTTCTCCGCGGCGGCGCTGGTGTTGTTTCAAAAAAATTGTTCCCGGAAGTTTGAGGAATCGTGTAAATCGATCCACGTGGGATGTAACTATATGGTAATCGCAGATTTGGTCCTTTTGCGAATGATTCGATTTCTAAAATGCTTACAATTACCCCCTAAGGGTAATTTCGTGTACAAAGGCAAAATTGGTATTATCGGAGGAATATTCTTGAGAATCAAAAAGATTCTATCGAGTTTAACACCGTTAGAGCGATTTGTAAGATGTCTGCATACTTCGGGGGGTTTTCGTAATTACGAGAACGTGGGAGGATTTTCGTTATTTAGGCTTACCTCCGGGGGGTTTTGGTAATTTGCCCTTGTTTTTATATACTGAATTGATTCAATATATTATATTTTTCAGTAGTAAAGATTATATTTGATATAGTAATTAATAATAGATGTTTGGAACTTGAAAGTATTGAACCGCGATTGTTTATATTTTTAAAACTTATTATATTACATTGGTTAGATTAATTTAGTTAAAACTATTTAATAATAATGCATATGAAAATTAAAATTTATTTAATATTATTTATACACCAATGAAAATTTGAAACACCATAGGCCAAAGAGCCCCAAAGTTGTTAATACCCTCAATAATGACATGAGCAGTCTAATGAATAATACTAGAATTTATGATTGAGGTATATGAGAAATCTTCAATAACTGGGCTTTTGAGATCCTACACCGGGTGAAATTGATGCATCTGAAACTTTTAATTAATTTTTGGCATTTGTGCATGCATCAATGTACGTCACACGATATCAATAACAGTCGTGTGATACAAACGCTACTTATCATTATGATTTATGTATGTCTCCGACAGACTCATAAGAGGATCATACATTCAAGATATAGATTCAAGGTGTTGATTCTGAAATAAAAATATAGGGTCCATTTGATATACACCCCTACGATAGAAAATATATAGGGATAGGTCCATCTCTAAAATTCTTCCTTTGAGATAACCCCCTGGAGAGGCAAAAGTACTATTGTGCCCTTAATTGTTATTTTCAGCAAACTGCATTCAGTATTTCGCCCCTGCATTCAGCATACTGCCCAATTATATTTAGCATTTTTGGGTCTGCATTTATCAATTTATATATTCCAGATTTGTCGGGCAGATTTGTGGGGCAGATATTAATTTCGGGCAGATTTTTTGGGCCTGCATTTTTTATAAAAAAAATAAATGTTTATTTTATTATTATTTTTTATATATACCCAGTTTTGTAATTTTTTTATATATTTAATTTTTTAATTTTTTATATTTTTTTTTAATTTTTTAATTTTTTAATTTTTTAATTTTTATTTTTATTCTTTTTTTCATTTTTCATTTTTTTTAATTTTTTTCGATTAATTTACTGTACCGGATTTGACTATACATGACTATAGTTATATGAAATCATGTACTGTATTTTTACCCCAAAATTCATCTACACTAACAACAAAATTCACAATTTGGGTCTTGATATTATAAATCAACTAACCAACAAAAAATGAAAAAAACACGCATTATTATACATTAAAAAACACATAGCATACATATAATTATATGTTACTACATGTGACTATAATTATGTACAATTATCTATAGTTATATGGAGTGACATAAAGTTTGGAGTACTATAGCATGAATGCAACTTCACATGGCACTTCTTTGCATCTTATTCTTTGCATCTCATAAAATTATACAATGCAAAACCTGTGACAAAAAAATACGAGTTAAATAAAACAAAGAACAAAATGAAAAAGTGAATTAAATTACATGAAAAATACAAAAAAACAATGAAACAATTTTTTTTGATAAATTTAGTTTGGTGAACTATAGTTACATGTAGCTATTTTCATTCTTGTTACTACATACGACTATATATGACTATATGTAGTCAACTATAGTCATATGTAGTTATGTTCATTCTTGTTACTACATGTGACTATATATGACTACATGTATATGACCACATGTGACTATATATGACTACATGCATATGACCACATGTGACTATATATTACTACATGTATATGACCACATGTGACTATATATGACTACATGTATATGACCACATGTGACTATATATGTATATAAATAAAATTCATCTACAAACGTTCACAATTGAATAATTTATTATAACACCGTATCGTGCTGGCATAATTTATTATAACACCGTATCGTTGAAAATCTAGGTAACTAGATAGATCATTCCAGAAAATACATCAGTCCAGCTATCATTACATGCTTTTTTTCTTGCCACACTAAACTGCTGCCTTAAAAGCCAAATTAGGTACAACAATTTAGACCAAAGACCAATGTTAAATGATTTTCCCAATCGAGTTTGAACTTCGAACCGGTAAGATAATTCCAATAAACATACAAATTTTACTGGATATTTTCTTTCAAAATAGTCCTCCTCGTAACATATAAAGCAGACACAACAATATTAAAAAAAAAACATATACAATTATGTCTATGTATGTATGTATATACAAGAATGGTGAACGAACCTTCTCAAAAAAATGAAGCCATTCAACAGAATACACTGCCCCAGTACGGATTGCAAGCTCTCTTGACCAAAACCCCCAATAAACAAACAGTAAACAAATAAAAAAAAAAAAGGACGAGTCAAACTCAGTTCCGACAACATTGTAATTAATCGAAGAATCAGAGAAATCAAAGGTTAATTGTTATTAACTGAGACACTATATGACGACGAGGTGAAGACAACAAACCTCTCTGAAACCCTCCAACCAGAGAAGGGATGATTGCTTCAATTTAATTGTGAAATCGACCATTAAATCCCTTCTACTTGTTGTATCCATTAAAATAAATTTTAAAAAAAACTCAAAATCGATAAAAAATTTCCCTGTTAGTAATTGGGATTTTGAGGAAATTTGAAGAATTTGAGCTGAGAAAACAAACAGACATGATATATATGCACATCACCAGCATATACTCCTTGTATAACTCATACATGACTATATGTTACTATATGTTACTATATAGTAAAATTCATACATGACTACATGGTACTATGTTACTATATAGTAAAAATCAATTAAACTTCATTAACACTTAATAGTTGAATATGTACCAACACTTATTATCAAACAACGAAGATAAATGAGAATCACAACAGCTACTACCACTATCCCCAATTGTTACCTAACCTAGTATTTCGATCCAAAAGTTATTCTGTTGACATATGGTCAACAATTTAACCAGGAGATTCGAATGAATTCATTTTCAGCTTAAAGGATTAGGAAACGTACTTTTCAAGTGCGACGGCGAGTTCGGAAGTAGCCGCTTTGGCTTCCTGATGAGTCGGAGCGCCTCTGACGACCACCCTCTGCTTGGTGACGGAGTCGCATAATGTCGACTCCTCCTCTCCCCGGCGAAAATCCAGTCCTCTATCTCCGGAGACGCTGATTGCACGCCACCCAGAGACATCGATTTTACCGGCTTCACGTCTTCCACCAACGCACCATAGAAGAAATTTCCGATCGGTGGCGGAGAAGAACGGGTGGTGCTCCGACGACGTGAAGTCACGCAGACACCGCCGTCCCCACCGTGATTCCCGCAACCTTCGCCGCTGCTCTTATTGGGCTGCCTCCCATTATTTTTCAGATCTGGTTGTGGTTAATTGAGAAGAAAAAGAGAGTGTACGAGAGATGGAGAGAAGACTAATGTAACGGCGGGGTGTGGGTGAGAGAGAATGTTAGGGTTAGAGTCTATATTAAATTTAAATTAAAAGGGTAAAATGGGTACTTCAAGTTGTCCAGGGGGTTCTCACTAATTAAGATCAAAATTTTGGGTTTTTGACTAGGAGAAAAAAATACATAGGATCTATCCCTATATATTTTCAAAACTAGGGGGTTATTACTCATTTCCCCAAAAATATAATAAGTAATATGTATGAAATAGAATATTCCGACACAACATATATAACAAAAAAGTAATAAAATAAATTTGTATAGGTACCGCTGCATGCATCTGTAGAAATCTGACTTCCAACCTGAAAACTAGTGCACTCGATCAATTGGACTAACCAATGATATGAAGCAACGAGCGTGTGCTTCATACCACTCAAATGACCCGCATCGATCAGTAGTAGGCTTGGGTATATGGATACTGAAAATTGCGTTCGATTATATGCCCTTATGTAGTAACATGAGAAGCATATATAAACCCTCCAACAATCCGATATAATAACGAATTCTCTCGAACAATCGTAACCATGTATGATCGGTGCATCTTCATACGCTTAGCATAACAGGGGGGGCCCTACCTATCCATTACCGTGAACAGTTGATCTTAACGTCACCTAATATGACCACGAACTCTGATTCCTCCACATTAGAAACTGACCCGGGCGTTGGATTAACAAACTAACAATTTACTTTTATCTAGATTTATTTTAATACATCATGTTATCTCATTTCATTTGATTATATGTGTGGGCAATTACATGTGTTATTGCATATGCATGTCTATTATTTTGTTCGTAGACAATGTGCGTTGAGTGTGGCTAGAACATAGATTTTTTTTAAAAATAATAAGATTAATTATTCACAATTTAGATGAAATTTGATAATCGGAACCATTTCATACACGATTTTAGTATGTCTATCTTGATCATGGTAAATTTAAGAATATGCGAATAATTTTAATATATAATATCAATTTGAAAAATATTACATTTTCTGATAGAACGAAATGGATCACTGAGCGTAGCTCATTTACACTTAACTGGATTGAATCATGACCTCACTACAAGAATGTGAGAGGTACCACTCAACCTTAAGGGTAGCATAGTTGAGATTAGGTTTTATTCATGTGTTGGATTGTTTGATTATCGGTTGTCAAATCAAACCGATTTATAACCAACTTTTGTAAATATTGAAATTATTATCGACCCAGTATATAGCACAGGTACTGGGTTGGATCCGTCAATTACCGATCTAAAAATCAACCCATCCAACAAATCAATTTTGCCCAAACTTGAAAATCATTGCCGACCCAACCTTTGTGGGTCGATTGATGGTTGACAACCGAATATTTGGTTTCGAAATCGGTCGTTTAATAGGAATATCCGTCGCATAATTCACTTAAAAATAAAATCAAAATTTGGAGCAAAAGTATGCACATTCAACCTAGTGTCACTCGCCAAAATAGTTAATAGCAATGTATATAATATATAAAAGTTGAATTCCACACCTAATTGATTGACATTTTTCAATTTCAATTTATGACATGTATTCAATTTCATCCCATGTGGCAAATTGATTAGTGAAAATAAATCATCAAAAAACATGTCATCATTTCCAAAATTAAAGATAATTAAATATATTTTATTATTTTATTAATATATTTATATCTACCATTTATAAAATCTCTAAATATATCAACTTTCTTGGAGACTTATAAATAGATTTATTTTTTATTTTAATTTTAATAGTAATTAATTTAATTTAAGTTTAGTTAAATTCAATTTAAAAGCTTCTCTTATTATTGTTGCATGATTGGTGATGTTACGAAAATTTTGTGTTTTAATTAATAAATTTTGATTTATATTAAAAAAAATATGCAGAATAAATCATTTGATATTAATATATAATACATTTTACGTGAACATGACTAGAGAATATGTGTTCTTGTACTAATTTAATATTATATATTAAAATTATCAGTAAAAAAGAAAGATACATGTTCGAATTTACTATATTGTGGAAATTGGCCTTATTTTTTTCCTGTCATGTGTGCAGTAATATTATCCAATTATTTACCATATTAAAGATTATACTACATGAATTTCATGTTATTATTTTAACTTTTCTTTTTTCTTCACCAAATCCAGTGAAAATAAATTTTATAAGTGATTTAATTTTTTTAATTATACTAATTAAAATAGAAACTTTCTCATGATTATACTAATAAATTGAAGAACATAAGTTAAGTTTAATTAATTGATAAAAAAATATTTATTTTATATATTTTAAAATATGACAATACTATTCTAAATCCTCAATATTAAATTCCTTTATTCACTTTATTTAATACCAAAAATTAAGAATATCAATTGTTTTGTTTGAAATGTATAATGATTGTATATACTATATACCGTATTCTATTGATAAGTGTTTCTCTATAACTTTGATAGATATAATTAAATACATATCTAGAGCAACTCCAACTCAAAAGTATCAAAATAATTTTGCAAATATTTATGTGATATTTAATATGCTCTAACCATAGGTATTAAATGGTTGTTAATTAAAAATAAATAAATTGATTTATATATCTAACTACCACATACCAACCCTCATTAGGAGAGTTGGTACCTAGCCTTTACCAATAGGGTAAAGGTCTAGGGTTCGAGTCCCCCCTCCCCTACTTTCCCTTGTAATAGTCTTGAATTTACTCAAAAAAAAAAAAAAAAAACTACCACATGTCATAATCTAAATGGACACTGAGGTGGTTAAATTCATAACTCATATTTGATATTTTATTCAGCATAAAGTATTTTTAAATTACGAAAGATGAAATATCAAAATACAACCCTTATTTCATAACTCTATTGGAATTAAAATTACTATTTTTTTAGTATGAAAATTGTGGTTAAAGGTTTTGATAGCCCATTTAATAACCTCACTCGAGGTGTTGTTACTTTAAATAGTTTACATTGACAAATACAATATTAATAGGTAATTTAATAGTTTCTACAATCCATTATTAGTTACAAACTCAATAAAATATGTATATATTATATAAATGACTACAATTATATAAGAAGTAATTGCATAATTATGTGTGTGTCTTTCCAAATCGAGAAAGTTCGATGCAATATTGTTGCTATGGATGGAAAAAGTTATCAAATTTCCAGTATCATATTATACCAATAAAAATTATCTAACAAATATCAAATTAGTAGTTATCATTTCATTTGGTACGATATTGGTACCATATTGAAATTATACGAGATTTATTACAATCCATTATAATAGTGTGGGTAAAGATATAGACATACTATTACGGAAAAAAAAATGTTTAGCTACTATCCTGACTAATTTTTAAAATTATAAATGATAGGAAAATAAAAATATCAATGTAGGGTATTATAAAATAAATAATTGATTATTAAATATTTTAACACCGTGTATGTCTCACTATATTTTGATATTGGAATACATGAGTTCTTTTGTCTAACTTAGAAGTTATGTGTATGTAAATTAGTGAAATATACTTAAGTTTTCTATTTTGCCCATCATATACAACAAGATATATTTATTTTTTTACTTTACATTTTTAAAATAGTTATAAAATAAAATTATTTATTTTATAATGTTTATAAAAATCTAATATCGATTATGTATTTCTATTTTTTTTTTAAATCACAATATATTTGATTGATGTAAAAAAATCAATTAATTTTTGTTTTTTCATTTATTATTTATATAAGCATTTTATAATGACTTTTATTTAAGCCTTTATATTAGTTTTTAACATATGGTCATACGTGTAAATCAATTTAAGATGTATATTACAAAACCCCTCTGAACTTAGGCTAATTTGAGAAAAACACCCCCACATATTCATAATTATCAAAATTTTCCTGATGTTTGTTTCCATCTTACATCAATCCCTTACAGTATAATTTTTCACGGATTTTTTTACTACTTGGAATATTCCCCGAAAAATGATGTTTCTACCTTGCACACGTGACAAAAATTACCATAAGGGAGACTTTACACGGAATCTTAATTTATTTTTCTTAAATAACACTTTCACAACCTTTTAATATTACAACTACCTCCCCTAAGGGTAATTTATGTTTTAAAAAAGTAGGATAAAAGAAATGTCACGTCTACAAGGATAGAATCCACATTTTTTTGGGATATTACATGGAATAAAAAAGATTGCACAAAAAAAAAAAAAAAAAAAAAAATCATACCTTAAAGGGGGTCGTGTAAGATAGAAACAAACATGAGAAAATTTTGGTAATTACCGATAAATGGGGGTGTTTTCCGTAATTTAGCCAAAGTTCGTGAGGATTCTCATAATCTATCCTATTAACAACACTTATTGTTGTTTTTACGTCTTAATGTTTGCTTATATCCTTATAATTTAAATAATTTTAATGTCAGTTTGATAATATAATTAAATATTAATTTCTAATATATTTAATGTGTTTTTTGATGTTCAGTTACCACACATAAGAAATTTGATATAAAGGTTGCGAGATTGAATAGAATTGTTTTATACAAAATAATAGATCATTGCAAAAAACATTGATACAAAATCAACATTAGTATTGTGATTAGTATTAGCATTAGAATTATGATTATTATTGATATTCTTTGAATTAGTATTGGTATTAACACTAGGATTAGGATTCAGATTAATATAGTATTAGAATTAATATTAGGATTAGGATATATAAGGATTATGATTAGTATTAGTATTAGAATTACAATTAAGATTATGATTATGATTAGTACTACAATTAGTGACATGTATTAGTATTAGGATTATGATTAGTATTAGTATTAGAATAACAATTAAGATTATGATTATGATTAGTACTACAATTAGTGACATGTATTAGTATTAGTATTAGGATTATAATTAGCATTAGAATTAGGATTATGATTAGAAATAAGATTAGAATTATAATTAGAATTAACATTACATGCATTAGCATTATTAGTAGTAAAATTATTAGGGTTAGGATTAGACTTATGATTAGTGTTAGGAATATGATTATGATTAGAATCATGATTAGTGTTATGAATAGGATTAGGAATATGATAAGAATTTGGATAATGTTAGGATTATAATTATAATTAGCATTAACATATCCAGATTAGCATTAACATAAAAATTAGTATTAGCATTAGTACATGTAAATTAGCATTAATATTAACCATATTAGCATTAGTATTATAATTAATATTTGTATTAGTATTAGTATTAGCATTAGCATTAGCATTAGTATTAGTATTAGTATTAGTATTAGTATTAGTATTAGTATTAGTATTAGTATTAGTATTAGTATTAATATTAATATTAGTATTATTATTATTAGTATCAATATTAGTATCAATATTAGTACGAATATCAATATTAGTATTGGTATTAGTATTAGTATTAGCATTAGCATTAGTATTAATATTAGTATTAATATTAGTATTAGTATTTGTAGGATTACGATTAGTAATAAGATTAGCATTTGTAGGATTACGATTAGTAATAGTATTAGTATTAGTATTAGTATTAGTATTAGTATTAGTATTAGTATTAGTATTAGTATTAGTATAAGTATTAGTATCAGTATTAGTATTAGTATTAGTATTAATTTTCGATATTAGTATCAGTATTATTAATATTAGTATCGATATTAGTAATTTAGTATCGATATTGGTAAGTATTGGTATCCGTATTGGTATCGGTGTTGGTATCAGCATTGGTATCAATAATGACGTACACATTATCTTTTTTGAAATATTTATAGGTTGTATTTTTGTTTGAGTAATATACATCACTAATTGAACGTCATTAGTGATAAACTTACAGGTTATTTGAATATCTATTGTGTTACTTCTTTGCTATCGTATATTTTGTTAAGTTATTTATTTTGTAGAAGATTGATATGGTGTGAGTTTGCATTCCACGAAATAGAGTTATACCATATATTTTGAATGATTTCACTTAATCTTTATATCGTGTTTTGCGCGCCTCGCGTTTTTTTCTTTGTATATTTAATTGAATTTCATATGTTACAACTCTGAATTAAGAGATAATTTTTTTTTTCTTTTTTTTTTTTATTTCCTTCCATTTTGTTTTACTTGAATTCGTGAAGTTATAAAGAAATAATTATTTCCATATTATTATTTTTTCTCACTTCAAAACTAACCCCGTGCAATGCACGGGTGAAGTACTAGTTCGATAAAAAATACAATTCTGAAATTCAAACTAATTCCAAACATGCACATTCCCAAATTCTGGTGAAACATTTATGTAAACCTTTTTTTCCTTGTTGATTTTTTTATTTTATTTAAATTTCCTTTTTTTTCCCTTGTTGATGGATGGGTTGATAGGTCAAATCTAATAAAAAGAAATTTTTATTTAAAATTCCATTACAAAACTATTATTTTCTTACCATTAAACATAACTAGTTCAAAGGACTTGAATTTACTCAAAAAAAAAAAAACATAACTAGTTCAACAATATCAAAACAAAAATCCAATACTACACAAGTCGATAATTTCTTATAGTTCCCTCGGGTCTACATACCAAATAAATAAAGTTAGTTTCCTGTTTTACCTGACGAATTGACTTTCTAACAAATTATAAACTAACAATTAATCAACCTAATTAATTACATCATGAGTTGGTTGTCATTATCGATCGACCTCACCTTTAATAAGTTGTTTGATGGTTAACTATTCATCAGTAATTATGAGTTGAAATTGGATTGGTTGATGGATAAAACCAATTCAGGATTAAGTTCAAAGATAAGATTAGGTTTTATAATCCCTAAAAAAAAGAAAGATTAGGTTTTATAAAAAAGACGGTCATAAATATAAATTAGCGACTTTGCGTGTGAGACAAACCCCACGAGAATAGCAACTTCACATGTGATCAACGACTTTTCAGATTTAATTTCAGGAATTGAATTAATAATAATATTGATTTTTCTCACCTAATACACACACACACACACACACACACACGCATTTGAAACAATCAGAGTGCTTGATCACGTCATTCTTCTACCAATTGAGTAAGTTTTAGGGTTCCTCATATTCCCTTCTCTACAGATTTTCATTTACTTTCTTCCCAATCGTCCCTCAATATTCCTCCCCCATCGTCTTCTCTGCATCACCGCCGTTAATTTGATACCTTTTTTTTTTTTTCCCGTGAAATATGGTTTAGATTTCAATTTCCGTCAGTATTATGTTTTAATTTATGATACTTGCGGCGTACATGTGATTTAATGTCAATAGTTTGATCGGTAAGAGATAGATTTGACCAATTCTGTTTCAGATTAGGGTTCGTTGAATTTAGGGATTTTACTGAGGAATTGAAGGTGGGGGAATACGGATTTCTGGGTTTATAAATTTCTGGGAAGTCAATTATGTACATTGAGGAATTGAATGAGAGGAAAGAGGGGGAGGATGAATTTTCAGGTGGTGGTGGTGCTGGTGTGGCGATTGTTGTATGGTGGGATGCGAAGAGGGTTATGGTTGGAGCCGGTGCTCGGGCGCTCTTTTATCCGACATTGCTTTACAATGTTGTCAGGAATAAAATTCAGGCCGAGTTTCGTTGGTGGGATTGGATTGACGAGGTACTTAATTCAGTGATTACATTTCCGAAAAAAGCTTATCTTTTTTCATGTGAATATGCATTCGGTTTTTTGTTCTGCAATTCGGTTCTTTTAGGTGCCGTTTTAAGTTGCCTGTTCGGTAAATGCATGAAATTGGTTGAAATGTTGCAATATTTATTCCACGATTTGAAATAGTGGGTATGTGACAGGGCAATGCGTAGCAAATGTGATTATCTGGAAGTTGGCTTGATAAATTTTCTCTTTCGGTTATGAAGCAGCTTTTTGGAGTTGGTCGACACATTTTACTTGAAAATAAATTTAGGTTGATTCAATTAGAGTGAGTGAAATACAAAGAAGATGTATTGCTTTTACCGATGATTTGATAGTCATTGTGATATACTAAGTCCTGTCTTATGAATAGAAAACTTTGCGTTGATTGCCGACTTAATATATAAGAGAGTTGAGAACTTGAAATTTTAACTTGCAAGCAGTATTTTGTAAATGCTCGGTTGATCAAATCTACCGCCTTTGCTAATGTGATTATCGGTTGTTCAGTTTTTACTATTAGGTGCTGTACCATTCCCATCTGACGTTCAACGACTGAAGGAACACGGTGTACGTGGAGTTGTTACCTTGAATGAATCATACGAGACTTTAGTCCCGTCATCTCTATATGAAGTAAGTTCTCCGTTTTCATTTTCCTCGTGTGTTTCTATAAATAGCCTCACTGATTGTTTCTTTGATTTATTTACTCTTCGTTGATGTAATGAATGCCACTAAGACTTTAGATACGTATAGTTATGCGTGGGTCGAAAGTCCTTGGTATTATCAAAGAAATTCTACTATAAATTGGTTCTTGTGTGTCCCATCGAATTTTTATACACAATAGGTTTGTTGAGATCATAATAGAATCAATGTCTTCGTTAGTTTGTTTTGAATACATGTAATTGACGACTCTTCGTTATCTTAGGCTCATGGTATTCGTCATTTGGTGCTTCCCACAAGAGATTACCTCTTCGCTCCATCTCTCACTGATATATGTCGAGCTGTAGGTTTTATTCATGGTAAGGATTCTTTGAAGTTACTACAATCTCTATTTGTGATCTCGTCATTGGGTTTTCACATTTTAAAAAAGAATATTTAAGTTGTGTTCTCCAATATTTGGATTTAATCCATTTTTTTTACAGCAGAAATGCTTCTTCATACTTGGATCGTGTTTCTTTTTTTTAAATGTATAAGTTAACATTTTTATTCTGTTTTCATCGTGTTGTCTAAGAAAACGCATCAAACGGGCAAAGTACATATGTTCATTGTAAAGCTGGTCGGGGTCGCAGCACAACTGTTGTCATATGTTATCTTGTAAGTTAGTCGATGAAGCTCGTTAGTATTGAGACCCCTTTTGCCATTTACCGTAACTACAAAAATATTAATTTAATCTTCACATGCAGGTGAAATATAGACACATGACTCCTGATTCTGCATATGATTATGTCAAGTCAATACGACCAAGGGTCCTACTCGCATCTTCACAATTGAAGGTTTGTCGATTCGTTTTTTAGTTTTATATATATATATATATATATATATATATATTGAGAAGTCTGAACATTGATTGCAGGCTGTCCAGGAATTCTACCATTTCAAGGTTAAGAGTAATATCTCGGGCGAGTTAAATGATTTGGTATTTAGAAGCCCGAGATTATTAGGCGCAGGGAATATTTCGACATTTGATGACAGCTCAGTGGTTGTTATAACAGAAGAGGATCTTGTTGGATATGATGCTCGAACGACATCATCATCTAATGCTGTTGTCCGAAATGAGATATGGGCAAACGTGAATTTAATATACCAAGTGAAAATTGTGGGTGAAGCAGCTTTGACCAGACTCTCTTGCCTGTGGGTTCACTGTCCACGTCAGCAAAATATTACGAGTGAGAAGTTGACCGGTGGAGAAAATATCGATGTCGACATTCATCTCTTCTCGTGAGTTTCTTTTCGGGCGTGTGTATATATATATATATATATATATGTTTGTTCCTTTGTTTATATGTAAATAAGAAATTTGCTATGTTTTACTTGTACAATTGTTCGAGAAATTAGAAGCACTCACTGTCTTTATGCTCTCTATAAATATATGTATATGTTTGCAGATAAATCTTGTTTCCTATAAAAAAAAGTCACTTTCGATCTTTACTACATGTTTTCTGCATTGTTTGATTCTCCAACCACATTGGGGTTTGTGGTGGTGGTGGTGACAGCCGATGCACCACCATGCTCCGCCACAGTGCCGCCACTATCGGGTATTATTTTACTGCAGATATGGAATAATATAGTGCAAGAGTTCAGCACCTGAGATTTGGAGATGATTCCCTTCCACTTTTATGAACTTAACTCTTCCTGCTTTGTCTAATTTTTTCAATCCAATCCAATCCTCCATGTAAAGCTTAGTCTGCAAATTAAATTGTGAACTTCGAATTCATTAAACTAGAATTAAAATTGGGAAATTAAAGTTTTCGTTCCTAAAGTTTACTTCGATTTCACATTTTGTCCCCTTGTTTACAAAAGAGAAAAAAAAACAACAAACTGACTGTTCCTCGTATTTCAACAATTTAATATTTTGTCAGTTTTGTCACATTTCCGTTAGTACTAACAGAATCAAGCATGTGTCCATCATGTCTTAACTGACGGACTAACAGTAAACTAACAGGTGTTGAATTGTTGAAACATGAGGAAATAAATCTGTTTTTTTGTGAACAATAGAGACCAGATGTGAAATCGATGTAAACTTTGGGGGTATAGCTTAAGGAATTACAAGATGATGGTACCTCCCTCGGTTGCAGAACTTTTTTGGTGCTTCCATCTTCGTAATATCCGAACCACGAACTTTCTTTCGGCCTTATTGTGGTGTCGTTTTCATTCTGTTACGACAAATGCACGGATGTTGCAGTTATTATTTATAAGATGAATTTGAAATTTAAAAAAAAATTAAAAAAATTACCATTATAAGAACAAGATTCTTGAGGCTGCTAAATCTTTTCTTGTATGCAGGATTTCGATCATTAGGCCGTTCGTTGTTGAGCTTCGGAAGAAACTTGCAGCTTTTTAAGTACCCTTTTATATTCTGCCAAAATAATATATATAATTTTATAAATATATAATAAATATTAAAAAGGAAAAATAAAACAGTTACACGTGGATAAATCCATTTGGATATTACCTTAGGTAACTTGATATAGCCGGTCGGAGCAAACCGTTTCTGCAAATTGTCAAATACAAAATCAAATTGTTACTACGGCGCTGTTTGCAAACGCTTTTCCAAAGTGGTTATGAGCTTTTTTGTTTAAAAATCTATTTTTTTTTTAAACATTAAAAAGCTCATAATCACTTTGGAAAATCAGATCAAACACCACGTACATATGTTTTGTCCTTCAAATTATTAATAAATAAAAAAAAAATAGAAAAATGAAAAAAGTACTTGGGCATAGTCAGAATAGGCCCCTGCTTTCATTATACTATTAGCTATAGTACGAACAGTGGTTCCGCCAGCCTGCAAATTAAATAATAGAATAGAATTGTTGTAAGATAAATATTGCAAAATGTATAAATAATATTTTATACTGAAATTAATATGTAATTAATGGAATTAAGCACTTACATTAAGAGGTATTGAAGCAACGCCAGCTTGTGGTGCTGCTACAGAGATCAAATTCCTTACCTGGTAATAATACATAATATAATAAAGCAGTAATTAATAAAAATTAATAATGGAGATTGAAGAAAAAATATAGAACAAATATTATTCCAAAAATTATTAATTTATTACCGGTGGTGCTCCTTCACAGAACTCCACAATTCCTCGACCGATCAGGCTCCCCTGAAAAAATAAATTTCGTTATAAATAGGGGGTAATCTGCTATACAGGACATCAATTTCTTTTTTGTGTTGATAAAAGTTTATAGCTAGTTTGTTTTATAAAAATATCCCACATTTTTATGAGTTAAAAGTCTCGTGCGAGGCGCGCAATGCGCCATTGTCGTATTTTGTTACGATTCTCAATTTTCAAAAGTCGGTGCCATATTTTGTTAAAACATTCAATTTAAAAAAAATGCTCAATTTTCATAAGCTCACTACAAATTTTAAAAAGTTCGCTGCCAATGTACAAAAGTTCTTCACATCTAATTTTCATAATTTACCATCATATTTTGGTAAAAGTGAACTCACTAAATTTGTTAAAGGGTAAATTACAACCACCTCCCTGAGATATAGTCAAATTACGAAAAAGTCCCTATTGTTTGGATAATTACATCTACCCCTCAACTAAGAATCTTCTTACACCTCCAATCTTATGGTGTCAAATTCAACATAATCATCTAGATTCGAGGGAATGTGCTCTAGTTTGTACTCGTTTTGTATAAATATACAGTTTCTGATGCACCACAATCTGATGTATACAAACCAAAAAACACATCTTATAATCATCTTGCTTCAAAATGTGGAGCTCAAATGGGATAAAACTGGTACAAAAGTGATAATATTCCATATAATCAAGAAGATTCCACCAAATTTGAAACCGTAAAGGTGGACGTGTAAGAAGATTCATAATTAAGGGGTGATTGTAATTATCCAAACAAGAGGGGTTTTTTCATAATTTAACCATACCTCAGGAAGGTAGTTGTAATTTAACCTTTTTTTAAAGTTCACTGCCAATATTCAAAAAGTCAGATCTAATTTTCATAATTTAATTAAATATTCCGAATTCAATGCCAATATTTACTATCATATGTTAATATATTCAATTTTTAAAAGTTGGTTTTCAACTATTATTTTGAGAAGAAAATGCATTTACCTGGGAAAGACCAACAATATTATATCCCTTAGACAATTCCTTCATTGCTTTTACCTGAAAATAAACATGATTATGAGTTTACTTAATTATGATTATTCTACCATGCTTTATTTTTTTATTCTTAAAAAATAAAATAAAAGAAAAGTAAATAGAACTTGAAACAAAGACAAGAATTTTCTTACTTTGCCGCAAGCTTCTTCAACCTATATATATTGATGATGAAATAGGAAAACAAAAACAAAAAAGTGAAATAAAATCAAAATCATGATCACAATCTAATACAATACTCTCTGCATGCCAAAATATGTGTCGCTTTGGGTTTTTGCGCACATATTAAGAAAATAAATAAATATGCGCCGTTTTTAGAGAAAAATATATAGAATGACTAAAATATCCATGTTATTAATGTCGTTTCCATTAATTCTCTCTCGATTAATGAATAGTAATAAGGGCAAAATTAAGAAAATAGTAATTAATGTATCATTGAAATTCTAAAATAGTGACAGATAATTTGAAACAAAAAAAAAATTCCCAAAGCGACAGTTAATTTGGAAAGGAGGAAGTACGATATAGTAAATTCTTATAAAGGAAAATAATAAAATACCTGTTTATCAAGGGGAGTAAACCATGAAGTCCGACTTCCATTTCCTATCTCTCTGCAAGTTGATTTTTATACAAAAGAAATGTCTTTTATTTTATTTTACTTACAAGTTCTTTTGGCTTTTTTTTTTGTTTTTTTTTTCAAATTCAAATCTTGTTATGTACAGGGGAAGTAGGGGAGGACATCAGTGGCGAAGCTAAGATTTCATCATTGGGGGCCAAATATTTATTGGAAAATAACGTAAAAAATTAATGAAAACAATTATTGTTCCAATACAGGTCAATCTAAGATGTTGCTACATGGTGGACTTAATTTTTCCTCGAAAAAGAAATCGGATTTTTTTTTACAAAACCAGAAGATAGGAGAAGAAAAACTTAGTACTTTTTTGCATTTATTTGGATTTTTGGTGCAAAAAATAATAAAAAAATTGGTAGACTGAATAATATAAATGCGTAATACAGTGGATATTTTTACAATTGAGGATGACTTGAGTCATCACTTCCCAATGGTTCCAAGTCACAATTCGTAACTTCTTTATCCTTCTTGTTTCACCATTTATTATAGAAGGACAATCCAAAGGTAAAAGAACTATACACTACATATATTGTAGTAAAAATAATTAAAATTTGAGGGGGTCATGGCCTCCTCTGGCCCTACACTGACTCCCCCACTGAGCGGCAGACCCTAGACCTCTACTCTAAAAGCAGAGGGTATATATTTTCGAAGAAGATAATTTGGTGGAAATTATTTTCAATACAAAAAGATTTTCACAATGGTTATTTACTAATTCAAGACTCAAAGTTCTTTCTAAAACTAAACCCCATTCACATATTTATTGAGTGGAATACACGTGCATAACGAATCGGAAGAAGATAATTTATTGGTTTGTCGGATGGGTCGGTGTTTAGGCTGGTAATTTATTTACCGATCCAACCCAGTCTCCACCCTAGTTTTACGCAATCTAGTGAAACCGAAAAATAAATAAATGAAATATTGGTTGTTTCATTAAAGGTAAAAAAAAAAAAAAAAAAAGCAAAAGAAAGAAAAAAAAATATGTATATGTAAATGTTGGAAGAAGAAAATAAAAAAATACATACAAGCAGAATCCTTTAGTGTAGGACCACTCCATGAGTTGCTTAATGTACATTAAATTCCCGCGAATGGAACAATCTGTACCAATCCCTATACATTTATTTATTTATTAACCACAATAAAAAAAACTTTTTATTAGTAAAAAATAATTCAAATATTTACAAATTTATTTCATATACTGTGGGGTGCAATTAAAAGGATAATTCAATATAAATAAATATAAAAAAAGATGGTTACCGTGAAGGAAAATGAAAGGAAGAGGAGCAGAAAAAGATGGCTGCCAGCAGAAAGCTTGAATAATCAACAACATGATGAAGATGACTTTATATAATCTAATTTCTGATTGGTCACCCATTTTTTTATATATATATATTTTTTTTTGGAGAAGGTTATTTTCTAATTGAGAAAATGTATTTATATGTCAAAAAGATTGTTATGCTTTATAGTTTCATGATAGGTGGTGGTGAGATGAATTTTGTTGCCAATATATTTATAGGAGGTGACACTTTTAATGCAAATGCACCAAAATCATTAAACATAATTAATATTTGGATTTGGGATATGCTTTGTTTTAACTCTCCCTAATCCCTACCAATTGCTACTTTTATCTCATGATAAGTACTAATGGTTTTTTTTTTTTCCACAAAAATTAAGAATTTCATTATTGAAAAATATAATAAAAAAAAAAAAAGAGAAAAGGAGTAAGAACTTCATTAAATTCAGTTTGATGTTAGAAATATATATGCTTTTAGACTAAAATACGAGGTTCTTTAATTAATAAGGGAGAAACCGAGTTACGAAGAGAAAATGTTGTAGAGAGTTAGTAGGCGTAGAATTGTAAATTATGTAATTAATGTAATACTATTGTAATTTATTAATTAATGTAATACTATTGTAAATGATAGATATTATGGAGCGAAATTAGTAAATAATTTGACAATGTACCTCACATAAAAGTGATTTAATTGGCGGAGTAAAAGAAGACGACATCTAACATGTTTGAAGTTGACCGCACAAGACTTGTCAAGTACAATTTACTTATTTCGTGTCGTTTACATATTATTGAACATCAGTAAAATTTAACAAAGCACCTGTTTTTATAAATCACATGTTTCAAAAAAAAAATCATAGTAATAAAAAATTTCAATATACATAATAATTGATTTAATATCACGGTAAAATATTGTCTTCTTTTTCCCCTATCTAGGAGTGAAAGTCGGATGGATCGGATCAGATCGGAGTTAGACTTTTCAGAAAATTTTCGAAAAATTTCGAAAGTACAAAATCTATTCTAATTCCAGTTCCAAAATTTTCGGGATCTAAAAATTCATTCCAATTCCAAAAGGCCCGGAAATTTTGGAATTTCGGAAAAAAATTGGAAATCGCATAAGCTTTTAAATTTCAAAACTTAGCCGAAATTTACTAAAATAATATGTTCATAATTTTTCAAAAATAAAAACGTCCACGTCGATAAAAGTAAAACTTTTAACTACTAAATTTCAGTTCAAAAAAAATAAATAAAAATAAACATACCATAATATCCAACAAAACTTCTAACAACAATTCATTATGTCAAAATCCTAAAACAAAACTTATCGGTGTATTTTTCAGAAAATAAGTATTATGTAATATATATTATTTATAGGTGTATTTTTCGGAAAAAAAATCAGAAATTTTCGGAATTAAATCGGATCGGAACTCGGAAATTCCAAATTTATTATATATAATTCCAATTCCAATCCAAAACAATCGGAAAATTTCGGAAATTGGAATTTCGAAAATCGAAATGAAAAAAATTATTCCAAAATCGAAACTTTTCAAATCGGAACCGGCGGAAATTGAAAACACTTTTCCAACTTACACCCCTACCCCTACCTTTTACTTTATTTGACTAATATCCACTTTCCAATAAACAACTCATGAGAAAAGCCACTCTCTCAATTCAATTCTTCTGTTATTAGTTATTACTAGCAATCTCTATATGCATTGCACCCAAGTAATTATGTACGATTTTATTTAATAGATAAATTTAGGATTTGATTAATTAAACTTAGAAAATATATTTTACAAATAAAACATAATTAAATAAAACCAAATAAATACCAAAACTCATGCTCCACATATGTATCAATATTAGAGGCCTTTCAATCTAACTTGTTAGCCAACTAACTCGTTAACTGAGTACGAGCAATAACGCGTTTATCATCAGTTCACCCCAAAAGTCTATGAAATGTATGGTGCATATAATTATCGAGGTTAAGCCTCCTTATAAGTTGACACTCAATTCCACATTTTTTCTCATATTGGGAGCTGAGTGTTACAATAAAAGTATCTGAAAATTGAATCAATATGAATCTAAAATCAAAAGAAAAATAACTAAAATACTTTTTTATATGAATTTCTCACATTAATTCTTGAAGGATTTTATTGTAACATTTGAAATAATCTCCCTCTTTCTTGAATTTCTTTGTCTAAAGTCATTTTTGAAAATCGATAATATTTTTGCATTCTCGTTTTAATTTTCTCACATCTATATTGATGATTTTTAGCTTCTTTGACTCCTTTTGTAGTCAACGTTTTTTGTCCTGCAGATATGGAATAACATACTTCTTGATATCTTCATCCAACATTTGCACATGAGGTCCTCCCACTTTTATGAACTTCACTCTTCCTGCCTTGTCCAAAGTTTTCAGACCAATCCAGTCCTCTTTGTAAAGCTTTGTCTGCAAATATTTAATTTGAAAAAAATTAGAATTCATTAAAGTAGTATAAGAATTACATATAAAGATGACAATCTTCGGAATAGTTTTGGAAGTTATTTTCATTTTATTTACATAATTGTATGTTTTGAGGTGATAATTCGTGAAAAAGTAATATTTGTTTATATGTTGAGATGCGACAAAATACACTGTAACAGTCAAATCATGTTTATAGGTGTTGGAAAAATGTATTTAAAAGAACATTTTGACAAATAAAGTGATTTTGGTTTTTAGTGAATACATTTTTTTACCGTAGCAGTCAAATCTTTTTACTGCAACAATCAAATCACGTATATAAGGAAGATAAAATTTTAAAATTGTTTTGATGATTTTTTTTAAAAGCTTAGGAAATACGAATTCCTTTTGGGAAAAAAAAGTTAAATGAAATGGGAAGCGAACCAAACATTGTCGTAGTAATTATAGTGATTATAATGGTTTACCTCTCTCGGCTGCAAAACCTTTTTGTCGTTTCCATCTTCGTAATATCCAAACCACGAGCTTTCTTTTGGCTTTACTACTGTCTCGTTTTCATGCTGTTACGACACATACACATGATGTATATGTTGCAGTTATTATTTATACGATCAAATTTGAAACAAAAAAAAAACAAATAATAATAAAATTGTTTTAATTGTTTTACCATTATAAGCACAAGATTGTTGAGGCTGGTAAGTCTTTTCTTGTAATTTGGATTTCGATCATTAGGTCGTTCGTTGTTGAGTTTCGGAAGAAACTTGCAATTCTTTAAGTACCCTTTTATATTCTGCAAAAAATAATAACATAATTTCCGAAATTTAAATATGAAAAAAAATAAAAATAGTTACATGTGGCTAAATCAATTTGAATTTTACCTTAGGTAACTTGGTATAGCCACTCGGAGCGAAGCGTTTCTGCAAATTGTGAGTGAAAAATCATCTTGTTATTTTATTGTCCTTCAATTATACTTAAAAATAAATAAATAAATACATAAATAAATAAATAAATAAAATATAAAGTTATACTTGTGCATAGTCAGAATAAATCCCTGCTTTAAGTATGTTATTAGCCAGTGTAATAACTGGTACTCCCCCTGCCTGCAAAATAAGATTGTTTTAATATATATATATTAAAGTAGGTGGTGCAAACAGATAAAAATGTGGTGGATGGAAATAGTGCGTCTCGTTATAAAACTATTATCATTAATAATATTTTAAAAGTTCAAAAATATTTTAATTAAATATAAACACCCACTGTATTAAAAGGTGTAAAAAAAGGTAATAATAAAATTAAGCACTTACACGAGGTACTGAAGCAATGCCAGCTTGTGGTGCTCCTATGGAGATTAAATTGTTTACCTAATAACATGTAAATGTGAATGACAAATATATAATAGATACAGTTAACATTTATAAATTAATATAATCAGAACTAATAAAATATTATTAATTTGACGAAATATTAAATTATCGAACTAGTAATTTAGTACGTTTTTTACCGAGTCGGGTCCGGAAGATATTATTAATCAAATGAGATTATTAGTTTTCGAGTATTAATTTATCGAGATTCTACTATAACACTTACAATAGCTAGTAATTAATAATCAAGACCACAACTTTTACATTTAATTCGGGCAAAATATATCGAACACTTATTATTCCTAAAATTATTATATTATTACCGGTGGTGATCCTTCACAGAACTCCACAATCCCTCGACCAACCAGGTTCCCCTGAAAAAGAAACGAAAGTAAGTTACTCCCTCCGCAATTAATACTCGATTTATCGAACGTCATATTTAATTAAAAATACTCGATTTTCATAATTTTATTAAAATATCCAATTTTCAATTCACTTCAAACTGAGGTAACTAAATTAAGCACACCTGGGAAATACCAACAATGTTGTATCCATTTGCCAGTTCCTTCATTCCCTTCACCTGAAATAAATTAAACATGATCATCATGAGTTTAATTACCTAAGTGTTTATTCAATTAATTTTTTTATTTTATTTTTGTTCATACAAAAAATCAAATCAAATAAATTACAACTTAAAAGTTAAAACGAAAAAGAGAAGTGTCACTTTGTGGCACGATTTTTCTCCCTGTGGGGGGGAGAGTATGAGAAAAACACTATATCTATATATATATATATGTATATATATATATATATATATATATATATATATATATATATATATATATATATATATATATATATATAAAATACCTGTTTGTCAAGGGGAATAAACCATGAACTCCAAGTCCCATTTCCTATCTCTCTGCAAGTTGTATTTCACAAAATAAAAATAAATATTCCAACACAAAAAGGAAAAAAAATAATAAATAAATAAATATTGGTAGAAAATAAAATAAAAAGAAAATAGAGGATACATACAGGCAGGATCCTTTGGCTCCGGACCATTGGGTTAGGCGCTTCATGTACGATGTAGGCCTGTCATTGGTGCATTGGCTATTCACCCCTATTATTTTATTATTAATTAACCACAAACAAATTAAATTAATTTATTTCTCTATATAATTACATTTAATTTATTTGCTAATTATTATAGTTTTGACCAAGGTAAGAAAGAGGGTTAGGTGGTTACCATGAAGTAAAATGAAAGGCAATTGGGCAGAAAAAGATGTCTGCCAACACAAAGCCTGCAAAATCAACACCAACAAAATGAATTTTTGTGATTGGTCACCCATAATTCTTTTTCTTTTTATTTGAGAAAATGTATATGTAAGAAATAATTTAATTGTTATTTTTAATAATTTCAATTTGTGGCTGATGGTGTAATGGTGGTGGAATTTGTAGCCAAGAAGTTTATTGGAGGAGGTTTATATAATAATTAATACACCAAATCCTAACATAATTAATATTTGGCTTTGGGATAAAGCTTTTTATCCCTACTTAGCAATTAATACTCTTTATCCTAGTTCTAGAACCACCTATTGTTTTGTTCATTTTTTATTTATTTATTTATTTTGGCCTTTTTGTGTGTGTGTGTGTGTGTGTGTGTGTGTTTTACTTTTTTTTAGTGAAAGTCATAGTATATAATTAGTAAAATTCTTAAAATGCCCTTGCAAGAGTGGTTTAGTTTGTGGAGAAAATTGCACATCTAAGATTTTCCAGATGAGCTCGTCGTACAAGGCTAACTTAATGCGAATTCTATCTTTCGTGTAGTTTACTGGTTATTATATGTTAATAGAATTTACTCAGTGTTTAAGACCGCTAGTAATAGAAAATAGTGCAGATAATACTAGAAATAATTTCACAGTTTCCACTACTTTTTACTTTTTTGTTGTTTGTATCCATTTTACGATATACATTTAAAACTTTATAAATTAATTATACTTAGAACCAACCAAACTCTATTAATTTCGTGAATATTAAATAATCAATTAATAAATTATTAATTTATGAAACTATGTTAGTATTTTAATGAATATACTACTCACTTTAAAATGCATTATCATCGATTAAAATATTTTAGAAATTATGAAATAGGGGTGTCAATTGAATTTTCAAACTTCCTTTTCCTCGAAATCTAATTAATAGTTTCAACTTTCAAATGAAGGTACAATCTGTTGAATGACCATCTCAACCAAAAGCTTAAGCTTTAGTGAAATGTATCATTTAGTATTAATATCTCCAACACAATCAATCATCTCTATAAATATATGTAGTTTGCACATAAATCTTATTTCCTTTTTTTCTTTTTAAGTAGCTCTTTGCTACATGTTTCCTTCATTGATGATTCCAAGTTTGTTCGATTCTCCGACCGCATTCGAGTTTGTAGTGTTGACCGCCTCGTCACCACCATACTCCGCTTCCGCTAGTCTACGCCATTTATTATGTAGAAACGGAACAACATACTTCTTCATATCAGCATCCGAAACTTCTATATGAGTTCCTCCAACTTTTATGAATTTTACTCTTCCGGCTTTGTCCAATGTTTTCAAACCAATCCAATCCTCGACGTAAAGCTTAGTCTGCAAAAAAAAAAAAAAAAAAAAAAAAAAAAAATTAGTTTGTGAAATTAGATTTCGTAAAAGAACGATACAAATTATAGCTTAAGACGAAGACGGAACCCTACCTTCTTAGGTTGCAATATGTTATTCGTGCTTCCATCTTCGTAAAATCCAAACCACGAGCTTTCCTTCGGCGTGATTACGGTATCATTTTCACTCTATTGATGATTAAACGAAATACTACTTAAAATTTGTTCGAATAATTCTATTTTTTTAATGATTATTTAAATGATCGATAAATGAAAATTTTATTACCATTATAAGTACAAGATTCTTGAGACTGCTAAATCTTTTCTTGTATGGAGGATTTCGATCATTAGGCCGTTCGTTATTGAGCTTCGGAAGAAACTTGCAGCTTTTTAAGTACCCTTTTATATTCTGCCAAAATAATATATATATATATATATATATATATATATATATATATATATATATATATATATATATATATATATATATATATATATA